GAAATGGATCAGGGGAGGATTGTGACGTGCGCAGGGCACGGGGGGGGGGGCAGGGGATTGGGGGGAACAGCTTCCTAGAGCTATAGTCTGAAAGGCGCTTTGCTCCTCAGTGCCTGCACAAGGCAGCTCTTCTGTGCTTGATAAGGTGGATTCACCCGCTAAACAGGACTGGATTCAGTGAATTATTTTAGATACAGCCTCTTTCAAACACTGCGCTGGCCAGACATGGTTTTAGGGCCTAAAAGAATCCCTGATCCTCGTCTGTGCCTTCATAAACACGTGTCCACCTGGGGGTTGTAGAGGGATGGTTGCATAAAATCCATTACTGAATGTCCAGGGCGATTAGAATATTCCCTGATGGGTTGGTGTGTGTGTTACCCCCTGGACAATCAATAATGGACATAAAATAATAGACAGCCACCCTTCTGCAAAAAAGTTGTATCGCCGGATTCCAGAAGGAGACAGCTGAATTGGAGTTAGTTTACAAACTCAGTATTATATTATTGACTCCCATGTGAAGTAAACATTGCTATTAATAGCAGGAGAGCTCTGATAGGGTACGTCTAGACAAGGGGCTATTTTGAATCCCGAAATAGCTACCCCACATCTTTTAAACGCACCTGTTATTTCAAAATATTTCCCCTTCCCAGAGCTGAGCGCCACCAGGAACAGCCTGAAGTTTCAAGCGGTTTGCGGCTGCAGCAGGCAGGGAACCCAGCCTGCCTTGTGGGTGCTGCAGGGCTGTTGGCTGGGCTGGGCTAGAGACTGCCTCTGGCACACCAAGCCTAACTGCACCTTAACTTTCTCCCCCAGGTCACCATCCAAACCCTCTACATCCCCTGTCCCAAGTCACAACTCCCTCCCACATCCTGTACCCCACCTATACCCTTCCTCATCACCCCAATCCTCTCCTGCACCCATACCTCCTCCCTGACCCTGAAACTCTGTCCCCTGACCGTATGTCTCATAGACTTTAAGGTCAGAAGGGACCATTATGATCATCTATCCTCTGCCCCTGGTCACAGCACCCTCCTTGAGCCAAACTCCCTCTCAGATCCCATACTGTCTCCTGCACTCCTGTGCCTTACCCTGTGCGCCCTTCTGCACCCAATCTCCATCCTAGACCTCATACCCCCTCCACAGAAAAGTCTGGCCCTTGACCACTTTGAAAAATCTTGGAGTGGCCTCTCCCCCACCAAAAATCATTGCCTGCCCCGTATGTAATATCTGGACTCAAGCATTTGCCCAAAATGGCAGAGTTTAGCAGGTGTGTCACCAGGGACAGTCTGGGGAAAATGGGGGTGTGGAAAGAATTAAAGCTCCTTCTGAAAGGTCTCCAATTGCTCTTCTCCCCACAACAGGCTGCAGAACACCCATGTCTTGCTCCAGCTCAGTCCACAGCCAGCAGAGCCAGGGAATGGAAATGGCTGTAGCGGAGTCGGTGACCTTCGAGGAGGTGGCTGTCCATTTCACTGACGAGGAATGGGCTCTGCTGGACCTGGGTCAGAGAACCCTCTACTGGGATGTGATGCAGGAGAATTATGAGGCTGTGAGCTGGCTGGGTAAGGATTCCTGTCCCCGCGGGTATCAGAAGCTGGGTGGGCTCTGGGGCAGCTGGGTTGGTTTTGATTCAGGGTCCCTCATTGCCTCTTCCACCCCCCCACTTCCAGGCTCCCAATATCAGGAGTATCAGTCCCAGTAATCTGGCTCCTGTGTGAGAGACTGTCCCCTCCCCATAGCCTCCCAGAGGAAGCAGGTTCAGGAACATAACAGTGGTGCTGCTCTTCCACAGTCAAGGTCTTAATGTGATTCTCCCCATCTTGCCTATATTTGTGCCAGCAGGATACCCCTTGTGCCAGTGTGCTGAGCCCCTTGAAAGAAGATGCAGTTTTCGGAGTCCTTCCTTGCCTCTGGCTTATTTTTGTCACATGCTGGTTCCTGGCAGTGAAAGAGGGTGGTTGCTGGGGCTGAGGGAGGGTGGATGAGGCAGTTCACATTTTGCGAGCGTTCTGTCAGGTAGCTCTGTAGTAGATAAATGTGAGGAGAGCTCTTCTTGCATTGGAGGCAGTGCACTTGATTTTAGGAGACTTATGTTCAGTTATTTGCCCTGCCACAGATTTTTTTGTGTGACCTTGGTCAAGTTCCTCATGCTCTTCTTGCCTCACTCTCATGTCTTTTCAGTAGCTAGTATCGTATGTCCATGTTTCACAGGGCTGGGGAAGGATACATATATTAAATAGGGGAGATCCTCAATTCCATATAAGTGCCCCAATAGCACAGTGGGGTCCTTATTTTTACCAGAGTTCCCAGGTGTTGCTGTGACTGATAATCTTTGCTTCCTGTCGTGGCTGCAGTGCTCTATGAATTGCTGCTAGCGCCACAGAGTGTCATTGTGGCTGCTCAGGGCGGCTCTTTCTGGAGCTCTTGTGCCAGGTACAGTGACAGAGCATGTGGCTTGCCCATGGAGCACAGCTCAGGGTCATCACATAAGAAGGTTGCAGTTTCCATTCAGGTGCTAAGGAGCTTGGCCAGGTTTCCTGTCCAAGGAGCAGGGTGCCAGTGTCCCAGCTACCAGGGCACAGGTAAAGTAAGATGTATCCCACGCAGAAAATGGTACCAGTTCAGCCAGCAACCAGAACACTGCCTCTCCTGTGACTTCCCCTTTCATATGTTGCCACAAAGTGCACATTAAGTCCCATGTTTTTCTACCCCTTAACCTTGTACCTGCTTATTGGAACAAAATATCCATATCCATTATTCACTCATCCCTCTGATTTGCACAAGGGTCAGTGTGTATCTCTGCCATCTCTTAGGAGTGTGTGTTTGTAGGCACCGCAAGATTGGTGTGTTGTGGATCCTCTTTTCCTGTAGAATGTGCTGATGTGGTTGTCTGGTAACTAGTGAGCTACCATTCTGCCAAGGCCTGGCCTGTTCTGGTTCCCTGCCTTTGGTTAATACCATTATACTGAGTGCTTCAGGAAGGCTTGACTATAATAGAGTTTAAAGAGAAGCTAGATAGTTTCATGGAGGTTAGGTCCATACAAGGCGATTAGCCAGGGGATAAAATGGTGTCCTTGGCCTCTGTTTGTCAAAGGCTGGAGAGGGATGGCAGGAGACAAATTGCTTGATCACTGTCTTCGGTCCACCCTCTCTGGGGCACCTGGTGCTGGCCACTGTCGGCAGACAGGATACTGGGCTAGATGGACCTTTGGTCTGACCCAGTACGGCCATTCTTATGTTCTTATGTAAGGCTTCCCTTCCACTCCTTGTTGTCCTTTTACAGGACGGTATTTACACATCATTCCAGAAAAGCATGATGCGAAAGTATGCACTGGGTAACTACTGTTTCTTGGGCATTCTGCTTTACCCACCCAGACATTCATGCCTCATGTGTCTAGTGGTCTCCGCCTTGTCTCATGTCCCCATAGAATCTCCGTGGATAGTAATTCCATGCTGTAAATATAAGAATATGGTGTGATGGACTGGGCCAGGTCTGGGCACTGCTGAGGACATCCGTTCAGGGCGAATTGCAGAAAACCAGGATTGCCTATAGCCCTCAATTGGAGACCTTTCCCAAATAGGCCGGAAAGCAGTCACATAGTGCACACGAGCAAAACCCCTCAGACATCCTAGCTCTCCCTGTGCCACAATCAGCCCCGGGCCTTATACCCAGATGCGATGTTATAAAACCCGATCTCACCAACTCCGAACATCCTCCTGGTCCCAAACAACCAGCCACAATCCCCGGTCAATTTACACTTGGAGATCTTACCCACAGGAGCATGCTGAGCCAATCCTTTAGAATCTAAAATGTAAAGGTTTATTAATAGAAAGAACAGGTTGAGAGTTGGATTGTTTTAGCAGAGATGTTACAAACTGCTAGCTTAGAAGTCTCTGGCGTACATCCTGTAGCAGGATGGGTCAGCAATCCATCCCGTCTCTCTGTCCCTAGCAAGGTTGCATCTGGAAGCTGGGACAAGACTGAAGACAAGATGGAGATGGTGTCATGGGAATTTTATATTCCTGGTGTCTCCCAGACCGAACCTGGTCACATGAACAAGTGAGCTATCTCTGTTTCAAATGCAAGTATCCATTATGCACTGGCTAGTCCTCAGGCTTTCCAATGCATTCTTCAGGTTTATATTGGCTGGTCTGAGAGCCATTGTTCATTGAGTAGTGCTAATTAGCACAGCTATTCATTGAACAATCCTTGCTCACAATAGGTAGCCCAGGCCCATCGCTCGCTCCCAGACAGAGAATATTTACAATACAAGAACAGAGCCCATATTCATAACTTCACATATAAAAATCTTACAAGTACATGAGTAGCAGACATAGAGTAAGTAGAGCAAAAGCTTCCATTTGACACCTCACGTGGCCCACTTGGTACAGAATTTGGGGCAAACACCACCTGTAGGTGCAACAGTGATCTGTCTGCTCACTTTAAAATCCAATAATGTGATATATGGCAGTAGGAATATATTACTGACCATGTGTCCAGGATAGTTAAAGTGACTATGAAATGCTAAGGGACATTAGAGAGGCTATAAAAATTTAAAAAAATAGTGGGGAACTTCAACAATTTCCATATTTACTGGGTACACATTGGCTCAGGACAGGATGCAGAGATAAAGTTTCTTGACACCTTAAGTAACTGTTTCTTAGAGTATCCACAACAGGAGAGGCAATTCTTGACATAGTCCTACATGGAGCCCAGGATCTGGACCAAGAGGTAAATACAACTTGTCTGATTGGAAATAGTGATAATAATATACAAAAAATTAACATTCCTGTGGTGGGAAAAACACCTCAGCGGCCCAACACGATGGCTTTTAGTTTCAGAAAGGGGAACCACACAAAAATAAGGAGGTTAGTTAAACAGAAATTAAAAGGTACAATGCCAAAAGTAAATTCCCTGCAAGCTGCATGGAGATTTTTGAAAGACACCATTACAGAGGCCCAACTTAAATGTGTACCCTAAATTCAAAAACACAGTAACAGAAAGAAAAAAGTGCCACCATGGGTTGGTTAACAACCAAGTAAAAGAAGCAGCAAGGGATAGAAGGGCATCGTTGAAAAAGTGGAAGTTAAATGCTAGTGAGGAAAATAGAAAAGAGCATAAACTCTGGTCAAATGAAGTGTAAAAATATAATAAGGAAAGCCAAAAGGAGTTTGAAGAACAGCCAGCCAAAACTCAAAAAGTAATAGCAAAATGTTTTTCTGAGTACATTGGAAGCAGGAAGCCTGTTGAAAATCCAGTGGAGCACTGGATAATCGAGATGCTAAAGGAGCTCTCAAAGACAATAAGGTCATTGCGAAGAAACTATATTAATTCTTTGCTTCGGTCTTACTGATAAACATAACAGTAAGAAGAACCAGCTGGCATTCACCCAAGAGTTCTGAAAGAACTCAAATGTGAAATTGTGGAAATATTAACTGTGGTTTGTAACCTATCCTTGAATCATCTTCTGTACCTCAGTGATAGAGATGTAGCCGTGTTAGTCTGGTGTAGCTGAAACAAAATACAGGACTATGTAGCACTTTAAAGACTAACAACCATTGTGACTATTTTCTTCCATTATTTGATCTGAGGAAGTGGGTCTGGCCCACGAAAGCTCATCATCTAATAAACCATCTTGTTAGTCTTTAAAGTGCTACATAGTCCTGTATTTTGTTTCTTCTGTACCTCATGACTGGAAGATAGCTCATGTGTCATCTATATTTAAAAAGGGCTGTAAAGGTGATCCTGGCAGTTATAGACCAGTAAGTCTAATGTCAGAACTGGGCAAATTAGTTGAAACTATAGTTAAGAATAGAATTGTCAGACACATAGATTAATATAATTTGTTGGGGAAAGTCAACTTGGTTTCTGTAAAGGGAAATCATGCCTTACTAATCTACTAGAGTTCTTTGAGAAGGGTCAACAAGCATGTGGACAAGGGGAATCAAGTGGATATAGTGTACTTAGATTTCCAGAAAGCCTTTGACAAGGTCCCTCACAAAAGGCTCTTAGGTAAAGTAAATTGTCATGGGATAAGAGGAATTATTAACTGGCTAAAAGACAAGAAACAATGGGTAGGAATAAACTGTCATTTCCCACAATGTAGAGAAGTAACTAGGGTAGTCCCTCAGGGGTCCACACCAGGCCAGGCTTAATAAACTTATTTGTAAACAATCTTGAAAAAGAAGTGAACAGTGAGGTGGCAAAATTTACAGATGATACTGCTCAATATAGTTAAAAACAAAGCAGACTGTGAAGATCTTCAAAAGGATTTCACAAAACTAGGCAATTGGATAAGAAAATGGCAAATAAATGTTAATGCTGATCAATGCAAAGTAATGCACACTGGAAAAAAATAATCCCAACAATACAGACGTAACAATGGGAACTAATTTAGCTCTCTGAAGAGAAGATTGGAGTCCTTGTGTATAGCTCTCAGAAAATATCCACTCAATGTGCAGAAGCAGTCAAAAAAGCAAACAGGATGTTAGCAATCATTAAAAAGGGGATAAACAAAAAGACAGAGATTAGCGTATTGCCTCTAAATAAACACATGGTATGCCCACATCTTGAATACTGCTTACAGACATGGTCATCTTATCTCAAAAAAGATATATTGGCAATGGAAAAGGTTCAGAAAAGGGCAAGAACATTCCCCATACCTGTCACTAATCATTTTTATAAGTAGTAGGGAGTTACTGAATGAAATGAACAGGTAGAGGATTTAAATAAAAGGACATTTTTCTTCACACAGCACAGCCAACCTGTGGAACTCCTTGCCAGAGGATGTTGTGAAAACCAGGACTTGAACAAGGTTCAAAAGAGAACTAGATATATCCATGGAGCTTAGGTCCATCAATACTTGTTAGCCAGGATAGGTAAGAAGGGTGTCCCTAACCCCTGTTTGTCAAACGCTGGAAATGGATGACAGGAGAGGGATCACTTGATGATTCCCTGTTCTGTTGACTCCCTCTGGGTCATCTGGCATTGGCCACTGTTGGAAAACAGGATACTGGGCTAGTTGGATCTTTGGTCTGGCCATTCTTATGTTATGTCACATACAACCTGTGGAGAGGTATTTTCTCCAATCATGTTGCTTTCAGTTATCCAGTGTTGCTTTTTCAGGATTGATTGATGGTTACTGGACACTGAACAGGAGGTTTAGAATAATGTCCTTGTCCTACAGTGATATGTGGCCACCGTTGCCAGAGTAAAGCCAACATTTTGGGCACGCTGCTGGCATCCTGGGCAAGTGGAGAGGAGATGTGGCTACGTGGCTCCACTGTCTGATTTAATGCATCAGAGAGAGGTCAGTCCACACTCATCTTCCCTTTTTTTGTTGTTGAAGCAGCTCTGAGGCTGGGGTGAGGAGCTGGTGTTACTTACCACCTGATTGTTGGTGTTATTCCTGGCATATTTCAGACTTTGTAACTGTGTGATGTGGAAGGAGGAATGTGGCGCCCCCACTATTTTCCACTGTTAGAATTATACAGTAAACAAGAATTCTATGCCGTTCAAGGCCAACAGGTCTGTCACCTCCTATCAGCAGGGACAGAGGAAGCATTTGTGTTTGGCCAAGGTGCTTTTCAGTTGACAGCTGGTGGACGTGCCAGGAAATGCTCAAAAGCCTGGGCTAAGATGTAGTTTGATTGGAGGCAGACAGATCCAGAGCAGAGAGGTGCAGAGGGCTGAGGGATTCTACATTAACAGAACTTAATGCAGGATCTGACTTTTTTTTTAATATTAGTGTTAATAATCTGTGCGCTTCCTCGTGTTCTGAGAAGGTTATTGAGTTCTTTTAGAGGATGCAGATGAGGCTGCAGTGAGGCCTTAACAAATGCAGGATCAGGCTCTAAATGACCATCAAGTCAACACACTGAACAAACACTTGGATCTTTCTGTTGCAGTTACCTTCTGGGTGACACAGAGCAATGCCAGTTGAAAAGGAATAGCTCTGTGGTGGTGTTGTGGCTGCTGTTGCTTTCAGAGGTTGCTTTCATGCTGGTTACTCTCTCTCAGGTTTTGTCTACATGTACAAGCTTAGATCGGTGCTATGGCAGCACTTAAACGTGGCAGTGTGGGCATGACCAGAGCGCTGGGAAAGAGCTCTCGCTGGGCTGTAGCCAAACCACCTTCAGCAAGGCAGTAGCTCACAGGCCTGGGAGAACATTTACACTGATGCTTCACAGCGCTGTTACTTGCTGTGCCCATATATTCCATGCTGAGTAGTGACGCTGAGCACCAGATCCAAAGGGCCTGGAGGTCCCATTTCTCCAGCAGCAGAGTGCGCATAGCTGCCTCTGTGACAGGAAGAGCTGTATAATCTCTGCCAAGATCATAGCAAAGCCTGGGTCAAGGAAATCCCCGTGACTGCAGATTGGTTAGTGGGCATCACACAGAGCCCTTCTGAGAGCTTGGCCAGAGTGAGAGGAAGCTCTCGATGGTCTCAGACACCCATGCTGACAACCAGGCCAGCACCCCGTCAGGCCGCTCAGAGATTGGTAAGTTCAGAGAGAAAAGGCGGTTGTAGAAAATTCTTGCCCTTTATTTTGTCTGCTCTAGAGCCATAAGGGCGGCGCTGTCCTCTGCTAGGAGACAGGTGACTTTTCTCTTCCTCTTCTCCAAAGCACACAAGAAGCAGGAGCCACAACCCATCCTGTGAAGTGGTTCAATCCATCACTAGACGAAACAACATGGGCTCAGTCAGAACCCAAAGTGCTCCCCATTTCTCCCAGCACTCACTGTGGAGTCAGAGACAATCAGAATTGGGAGCCACGTATCTTTCAACCTCCATGGCTCGGTTAGGCAAGGGGACAGCCAGGCCATGGCCACGTACACTCAACTATTATTGCTGCTCGGCTTGAAAATTGGCCTTCCAGTGTCCTTGACCAACTAGGCAGGGCAGAGCATCTGACAGCTCATTAGGGGGCAATAGTGCTGCGCAGGTCCCTATTGCTGTCCCTGGTCCCCTGGAGTAGTCTCAGCAGGACAGCCTGACACATGCCTTGCCTGATCATCCCCATCTCTGAGCCGAGGGAAAGATGTGCCTCTACTCTGCCAGCCTCCCAGAAGGACTCCACAAAGCCAACATCCTCCAACGGGGTATTCTTACGATGCCAGCAAGCCGGCCTGAGCTCCTTAGCGAGGAGGGGGTGTCAGTGTTAGGGATGCATGAAATCTTAGTGGTCACATGACTGTTTGATCATCCCTGAGGGCAGCATTGGCAGTCAGTTCCCTCCTGACCCAACTCCTGGAGAGCCCACGGCCATCCTGTGCTGCTGCCTCTCTGTTTGAGTTTAAAAACCAGTTCCCCATGCAGACCGCCTGCCTACCATCCCTCACTGCTGCCTGGGATACGATGGCAGCAGCCCCTGTCTGTGTGGGGTCCCAGCTCCCTGTGGACAAAGGTTGCTGAGTGGGATGCATAGCAACCTGTTTGCAGGAAGCTTCGGCCTGCTGCAGAGAGTGGCTGCTTTGTGGCAGCCTCTTCTGGTCCCCTCCTACAGAGGCAGCAAGGGGGAGAGGCAGAATGTGAATAGTCGATAAGACTTATTGGTTAATCATGTAGTTGACCACGTGTTGATATCCCCTAACTCAGACAACTTCCTCTGCCTCCTTCTGGTTCAAGTAGAGCCTCTGAGCCAAACAGCAGGGGAGCCAAGCGCCCCAGCCAGAAGCTTTGTGCACAGAGCCCTTGGGGACCTAGAGCTCTGCTGGGTCTTTTCTCTCCAAGTCCTAGTGACCTGCCAGGTAGCACCGGCAGTCTGAGCCCTGTCTGCGGGCCTCAGTGTCAGATATGGAAGCCCTCACTAGAGCTCACCTGAACAGTGTGTGCCTGGCCTGGCCTGGAATGGGGAGATGGAACAAGCCGTGAAGGAGACTTAGTTATAGAGCCGAGCCCCCCAGCTAGAAGCTTAGTGCACAGAGTGCTTGGGGACCTAGAGCTTTGTTGGGTCTTTTCTCTCCAAGTCCTAGTGACCTGCCAGGTAGCACCTGCAGTCTCAGCCCTGTCTGCGGGCCTCAGTGTCAGATATGGAAGCCCTCACTAGAGCTCACCTGAACAGTGTGTGCCTGGCCTGGCCTGGAATGGGGAGATGGAACAAGCCGTGAAGGAGACTTAGTTATACCCTAGTGTGTGCAGCAAGGTGTTCAGTTCCCCAGGGAATTGGCTGCATCTCAATCTGGGGGGATGCACCTTTATTGCGGGTGAGTCTGTCCTGGTATCTTGTAGCATCTGTAGCCCAGTTTCTGAAAGGTGTGGAAGGAGCCTCTCTGGGTGGGCAACTCAGATCCTGGGTCTGGCAGTAGTAATGGCACAGATTTAATGAACAACATCAGCACTTTGTTAATTGCGGTAGCACCTGCAGTCTGAGCCCTGTCTGCGGGCCTCAGTGTCAGATATGGAAGCCCTCACTAGAGCTCACCTGAACAGTGTGTGCCTGGCCTGGCCTGGAATGGGGAGATGGAACAAGCCGTGAAGGAGACTTAGTTATACCCTAGTGTGTGCAGCAGGTGTTCAGTTCCCCAGGGAATTGGCTGCATCTCAATCTGGGGGGATGCACCTTTATTGCGGGTGAGTCTGTCCTGGTATCTTGTAGCATCTGTAGCCCAGTTTCTGAAAGGTGTGGAAGGAGCCTCTCTGGGTGGGCAACTCAGATCCTGGGTCTGGCAGTAGTAATGGCACAGATTTAATGAACAACATCAGCACTTTGTTAATTGCTTCCCCGACCAGGATTTCCAGTCTCCAAAGCTCATGTGATCTCCTGGGTGGAGCAAGGGGAGGAGCTGTGGATCCCAGATCTCTATGGCTGTGTGCAAGGGGAGATCATCAGTGACACTCACACAGGTGAGCAATCAGCTAAACTGACTCAGAAACTAATTTCTGTCCCCTCATAGCAGGTGTCACTTGTGCATTTTCATCAAGTCTACCTGCCCCTTCAGCCTGTCCTCAACACTAGTCAGAGGCAGGGAGTGAAGGTTGGGTTCTTCCCTCTGGAGCAGGGTTGTGATGAAGAAGGAGGATGAACTCAACTCATGATCCAGCCATTCTTTGGGAGTGCTCCCCCTTTTCTGTTCCCCTTTTAGAGTTTTCTTTTCAGCTCAGTTCAGAGAATGACTCCTGGATTCTCTCTCTGTCCCAGCAGGTGA